TCTATCTGTCCGTCTGTCCGTCTGTCCGTCTGTCTATCCATCTATCCATCTATCCATCTTATTATCTATATATCTCAAATTCCACAGCTATGACCATCACTCACACTAAGCTATGGAGGCTGAGATTCCTGAATTTCATCGGAGTTTTAGACAAACAACAAATTTGAGTATCATCTATCCGTCTATTAAAATTATTTGCAAAAATATAAAATCTAATTTCTCTACATCCATTTTCTTCATTCCATCCATACAGTCATGCATCCATCTTGGGAGCACTAATTTATTTTTTTTAATGGTAAATTTGTGAATTACGGTATATATGAGGCTAATTTCCTTTTTCCCTTTTGACTTAATACCTCGGCTAAATATTGAGCCCTGAGTGCTGTTTAGGAGGGATCATTTTGGAGGGATCTCAAAGAAGCCATTGTGATGAATACATTGATTTACTTTTGCAAGCTATGTAACACATGGGAGCATTATTCATGTACCACTCAACAGCCTGGTGAAGTGATATATTGTCTGGAAAGCATTGTTGATATGGCAACTTTATATGTGTCAGATCTCATGTTCATTATTAGCTGTTATAGCTGTTCTTATTGTCCATTCTCTCTCTAATTATTGTATCGGTGTATCTCCATGTCATGCTGTCTAAATACCTGTATGTAAGTCTCTTCACATAGAACCACTTGTTGCACAATGGTCCCCTAACTTACCCTACAGACGTGTATTCAGTTATTTGCAAAACAGTGACTTTGGGCAAAAAAACTGAGTTTAATTAATTTTCTTAGTTGTTTATTTACTTAAAACTTACATTTCAAATTCTGTTGTTTTTGTTTTTTTTAGGATCCCACATCTCTCTATCTATGGAATAAATCTCCTAGATGGGAATTTACCAGCAGGGGAGGCCAGCTTTGTGGTTAGCAGACAATTAGGGAGGGGGCAGGGAAGGTATCGGTTTCCAAACACCCCGTGTAATTGCTGTGTCTGTGTTTAGTGTTTATTACATTTGTAATGGACTTGACATTGTGTGGGTGTTTTACCTGCTTCCTTGTTTCAATGTCAAATGGTTTCATTTAAAGCGCGTTATTTGCTCAGTGATATCATACTGTGAGCTTGTGTATTCTGAATACACTACAGGGAATGACATCAGGAAGTATGCATATTCTTTGGTACTTAGAACGTTAACAAAAAAGTACTGGGAAATTAGTTTTATTGTATTGTTGGTCAGAAAACAACATGCAAAAATGAACAAAACTTTGTGGGTTGAAAGTAGATGGGGCCGACCACAAAACAGACCAAATATGAACCAGAAATTAGGAATATCCTAATCAGGCAAAATTATGGCTCTAGAGGTTATGGATTTATTTTTACAAATCTGGATCCAGAATAACAAAATATTAAAAAAGTGTAACAATTAAAAAATATGTTACTGCCAAAACCACTCTTTCTAACTGCTATGTGTTGTTTGAATGATATTGTAATAGAGTTACCTTGAGAAAACTGTGGTATCAAATCTGAACTTCTGTTTTATAGGGCTCCCTAAGATCAGGGTTTAGGGCCGAGATTTAGTATTATTGGATGAGATTTTAAAAAAATTTAATGTTTTTGGATAAACTTTTAAAAATTATTCTTTTTTAAAATGTATTAAAATATAAAAGAATATATCATATTTAAAAATATATATATAAATATATCAAAACAGAAAAATCTATAAGAAAAATTGTTCTATATTAAATAATTTTCAAAGTTTCTCAAAAAATATTAAAACATTTAAAAAACTCTTAACCAACAATATATAACCCCTTAAGGACACATGACGGAACAATTCCGTCATGATTCCCTTTTATTCCAGAAGTTGTGTCTTAAGGGGTTAATTGAGGCCTCGGTTAGTGGTTAATTGGTGTTAGAGTTTGTATTATCATACTGACGTATAGTAGTTTTCTTTTTAATATGTACACCACACCAGTATGCAGTAAAAAAAAGCCACGAGTGAGCTCAACTGCACTGTAAGGGATTAAGGAAATTCTACTGTGTTGGGTTAGGGATTGTAGGATTAGAGCTAGAAATTGGGTGAGAGACTTTAAGGCTTTAAGACTTTATTTCCCTTGAAAATGTGAAACATCTTTGAGGCCCTAATCCTGCACTGATCTGCCAGCACTGTAAATATGTCTCCCTACTTTCTACACCCATTGGTAGATTCTGAGGCAGCCTCTGCAAACAATCTCTTAGATAATAAACTGATTTGAAGTATATTGCTGCAATGTTGCTCTCGCTAATTGGATGGAATTATTAGCAAAAGCCATCACTTAAAGCCTTTTCTCAAAACTTAGAATATTTAAGACTGTCTTGATACTCTTCATGACCTGCGCATACAGCATAAAGTGTGCTTTGCTTTAAAAACATTGGTATGTATCCTTTAAAGCTCCTGGTACTCACTGAGTGAAAAACTCTACATTTCCTTTACAATATACCATTGCTTATGTCAGGGGTAGCATAAGTTAGCTCCAGCAGTGGAACTACAGCCCCTTAAACTGACAAAGCATCATGGGAATTTTTACCACAACAGATTAGGACTTTATTTAATTCTTATTGACATATGGCTATAGGACTGGTTGACCGGGCAATCTTATGCAATAAGAAATATGAGAAGCCTAAGTCCATAGCTGATCAAGCTACCATGAGTCCTCTAGTCTTGCTCCAATTAAGCTGCAGGTGTGCGTAATTTCCCCCCTAACAATGCATCCTGCAGGTGGTCAGCCCTGCCCCTCCCACCCATCCAATCTCCATGAGAATGGGGGCTTCTGTCCATCAGCTAACAGAGAAGTGTTTACAACTGGTGGCTTGGGGAAAGCTGGAATGTGCAAATGGGATAGATCCCTGTGCACCTCCCCCACTATTTCTTACTCCAAATCTAGTGGTTCCCCATCTCCCATGTGTGCTCTATTGTCTTCCATTTCATATCGATATCTTCTAATCTGCCTACGTTGTTTGTTATTCCATCTCTTGGGATCCAGAGAGCAGCATCTGCCTAACTGGTGAATCCTTCCTCCAGATACAGAAATATTGACCCTGCTCTCTCTCTTGTCACCAAAGCTGTGGTTCTGAATGTATTAAGCATATTAACATTAAATACAAATGGTAATCTGCTATTTATTAAGCGTGCAAGCACCCTTGGAATTGATTAGACAGGAGCACACAAACAAACACACGCAGAAAGAAAAATCCATTGTGATTCCTTTCTTGTTGGCCTTTGTTTAAGCAACCAAAGGTTTTTGAGAAGTTTATCATGAAAGTATGATATGGTTTGGGGCAGTTTCTACAAAAGTAAATCTTTTACCTAAATCTGATACAGGAGACATAGTGGAATTTTTACTGGAAAATATATTAAATGGAAGAGAGAGGAAAGCATGCAAAATGAAGGAGAGAGAGATAACGTGAGACAAGCAAGGAAAGGGTAAACGCATCAGCTAGAGAGAGGCAGGAAGTGAGAGCGGGCCACTTCAACTTGTTTTTTTAGATCATTCTGAGACACAACTCTATGGTAAAGAATTGTCCACTGCCTCTTAAGTTTTGTAATCTCACAACCGGCCATTCTTAGTGGTTTTACTCCAAACATAACATTTCGAGGTGTATGGGAATATTGTAAAGGTTAATCAGAATATTCTTAGGGTTCGATAAACAGACTATTGGGGTTTCATAGGGAGCGTCCATGGAGTCTCTAGAAAAAAAGTTTTTTGTTTTTTTTATGGCAATGAGATTAAAAAGTGATAGTTAAATGGATATGATTTTAAAGTGGGCCCACCATCTGTCAAGGTGTGGATAGTAAAGGTGGCATTTGGTGGGTATTTAGATGTTATATATGTAATGTATTAGTATAATAAACAGCAAAGATATTTAAACGTTTGTACCTTATCTGTCATAGCTGAATATGCCTCTGAGCGATCACTTGACTGCTCCAATAATGCCAAGTGTAATATCACAAAATGCTTTGTGCACACCTTGTCAATCTCAGCATCGTTGAAGGACATGAATGGATGTTTTCCATCATAATTGGTGAGGGGCACAGGTGCATTACTGTGAGATGTTATTAAAACAAAGCTTTCGCCAAGATTTTGTCTAATGACATTGTGGTTAAACACAGTCTATCTACAGTGCAGTGTAACATCCTGTTTGCAAACAATACTAGTCTGAGGTTGCAAGTCTTATCTCCTCAGCCCTTCATGCAAACAATAGTTAACTCTGTTAACACTAAATTAGCTTTAGTTTATTGAGCACATTGAATCTTATTGTTATCTGGGACTCAAATAACTGACCCACAGGGTAAAACTGGCCACTTTGCTTGCTGCACTTAAGCATTAAACATTTAACTCTTTCATTATCACTACAGCGAACAATTAACTGCTATTATCTGCTACTTAGCAGACATGTTCACTTTGGAGAAAGACAAAAGTGGCTTCAATATCAGGTTATTCGCATAACTAATCCTAAGGCTGCCTGTCATTCCCCTGATTATTTGTCCCATGTTACTCTAAATGCCTATTGATTTAACCAATCAGCAATCTACAGCTGCCAAAATGCTAGTGATTAAAATCTTATTCATTAGTCCGTCACTATTCTTCAAACCGAACACATATAGCAAGCCATCTAACTCAAATACTGTCAAGAAGACTCAAAGCGCTATAATGCACGTTAACAGATTTATCAAAATATTATTTTAATATTTCCCAACTCCATGGGACTAAAACTATTGACCTCATAAGGATATGAGTTGATTCTTACAGTAATTTTGTATAAAGGATTCTTACAGTTACGTTTTTTTTGGGGGGGAGGGGGTACTAGTTATGTTTCTCTAGGGAGTGGTTCCATTTGTGTTTCTCCTCTACAGAGAAACCCCAGCAACTATGTTTTTACACGGCCCTTTTATTTAGGAAAAGAGTGTAATAAAGATATACAGCTAAGCTTTGGAAAATCACAAACAATAATATCAGAAAACTAAAATCTCAGATGTAAAAACGTGTTAGGTTTACAACATCACCTTTTTTGTGGGAGCTTGGTCTGGGTTTTGGGGATTTCCGATGAGTTGTTGGAGTGATCCCTGAACCTCCAGGAACATGAGAAATGTCCATCCCGGCTTCCATTGATAGATAACGTATCTGGAGGGGATCTACCTCCCCTTTCATTCTCTTGGGGTTCAAAAATCCAGACTGAAGTCTCTCTACACCCTCTGACAGACGGAAGGCACCAAAAGGGTGCAGTGCACTGTACCCTAAAACGCCAACATTTCCCCTGTCCAGGTGGTGATGTCCATATTGTGGGGGGAGAGAAAGAAGCTGAGGGGGGCAACTAGAATTCATGTGTTCCTGAGGAGGGTACAAGAGAGGGTAGGCTGGGCTCAAGTAGGTGATTTGAGGGGGCTTTTCCATAGACATTGGTACAGTATAATGGGGTGGCTGCTGTGTAACCCCTAGAGAACCATCTGAAGATGTCACCATAACCAAAAGAGCTGGAGATGTCAAGCTGTTGATCAGACCTGGATTGTTATCCATTTCCAAATGAGCAGTTCTGAAAAATTAGAAATAAAAGGTAACTCAATAGTACGCAAAGCAGGACACAACATCTCTAGTCTAATGAAAGTTCCAGATGATTTTGATAGGAATTTACTAGTGAGAAAAAAAGCCAAATTAATTTAGCACCTCATACTAAATAAATAATAAAACATTAAATAATAATACTGAATTCTCACAATCTACTGGACTGTTTTTTGTGTGCAAATTCTACTGAAATCCCAATTACGTAATTAAGTAAGTTAGATACTGATTCTGACAAATGTATGCAAATTCTCCATTATGTAGATTCTGTAAAAATAATTAGTTTTTCTAGGGTTTAACCCAGACACTAACTTTAAATTGAACAAATGGCGCTTCTTTTTGTTTTTGTTTTTTTGAAAGAATTACAATATTTAAGATATTCAGATTTCTGTAAAATTTACAGCCTAACAGCTGCATAACCAACTGAAATAGCTCTGAATTTGTCAAGACCTTAATTTGATATTAAATTCACAAAATGTATAGAATTCTTCACTCCCTAAATCTAGTCCCACTCACTAAGTATGAGTGTGATATAGTGTGATATTCTTTTAGACCATTGTATGGGTTTTTATAGAATTGACAAAGTGTACTAAATACTGTTGAAGAGTAGTACTAAAATAATAAAATGGAAATATACAATGTGGAAATGTTGTCTAAATGTTTTCAAACCAGGCTTCAAACATCATATATGGCATTAGCAATATCCCCATTTGGGCAGATCTAGGTAATCGCTAAAATGGTTATTAACTAAAGTGAGAATTGCCAGATAATGAAAGCAAATTTCTCATTTATGACCCCAAAAAATTGCCGACCTAGTAAAATTCTCCAACTATACTTCAATTTCTGCTAATTTGGTTTTAAATGGCCTTACTAGCTGAAAAGAAATCCATTGTAATTCTCAGTTTATTGAATAACCCTGTAACTCTTAGGGAACATTGAGTTTAAGAAGAAAAGAGAGTCTGTTCATTGAAAGGCAAGTTGACAGCCAAACTTTAGAATGTAGGTCAAACTAGCCAAGTTGGGACAAAAATTTCCAACTGAATCGAAATATTGAATTGGCCTAAATATTGAAGTCGGTTGTCAACTCAGAGTTGACTTCTGTTACTAGAGTAAAGTTTAATTGTATTGCCCCTATTGATGTCCATGAGAAAATTGCTTTCAATAATCAGAGGGAAACATTTCTCTAATAATTAAATCCGGCAACCACTGTCTATTACATAATACCCTCAATTGCCTCCTTACACGACACGTTTAAAATTATCTCTGATTCTACTGAGGCATTGTTCATTAAAACAAAGAAAAAAAACAGAAAAAAAACCATGTACATTTTTTTCTACGCACACATTAGGAAATATAAAATGTTCGCAAAAAGTTAATATAAAGTAATACCGATAGAATTATAATTTAAACTCCCAGCACCCATTTATTACTTCTCACTTTTATCAGATAAGTTCTCTAACACTGGGATACAACGGGAAAATACATAAAATGAAATTAAACACGTACTGCCTCAAAAGCCTTTAAACGATTCACTTAGCAGTAGACAGCCATTATAAACTATGTTTAATCTACATCCATACAAAATGTGTACGTGATAACTATTGCTAAGTATAACAAAACTTTGTCAAATCAACTATAGCAACCGTGAATAAAATATAAATACATGGACATAAAAAGGTTGTTCTAATGCCCTGATATGTATCCACAAGTCATTACCATATTTAGCTATCTATTAATCCCTGGAGTTTCAAACAGTCACCATGGCAACCAACATGTCGCTTGATTCCTTAGAATTGGTCCAGTTTTGCACTAATTAATGGGGCCTGAAGTAAATATTAACCATGTTTTTCCAAATAATCTGAGAATTATTCACTTAGAAATAAATTGTGGGGAATTGAAACCCAGATTGCAAAATGCCTAAGAAAAATAGCCACGGTTTGACCACAGTTGAGCTGCAGATGTTTTTGAAAAACAAAAATTTTGACTTCATTTTATGGAATTCGGTCTTCAGGTCTTAGTTTTTTTTTTTTTTTTAATAAGCAGTAAAGGGTGCTGCTTTGAAAAACTACAAACTAAATTTAGCCCCCAGATTAGTCATACTGAAAAAGTAGCCGAGTTAAACAACTTTTTATAGTTCTGCTATTTTGGCCTGTATTTTACCATTCAGGAGATGCCCTTCCTGTAAGAGGGAAATATACAATGACACAGAATAGGTTGGGGAACCACTCCAGCTGCTATAGACTGCAACTACCAGCATTCTCAGCCAGCTTAGCACTTAAAGTTGTATGGCATTTATAGCAGTCACTGTATCTGGGTAATGGTGCTGGGAGTTGTAGTCCACTCTAGCTGGAAAGCCCGAAAGGTGAAGTCGATACTCACAGTCCAAGTGATTCTGCTTCTTATTGTCCTCTTGTCCTTTTACTTTATCCCACTATGTCCGTCGTCTCGCCGTTTATCCAATTATTATTTTGTTTAATATTCTTATATTTATAGCTTTCTGCCTGCTCTCTGACACCTCTTCACTGGCCTATTTCATTCTTTCTTTATTGGTCTCTACTCCGTCTTCCTTTGTTGCTTGTGTTCTCTCTGTCTATTTCTCTCTGTTGTCTCACACTTTGACTGACTGTCTCTGCTCTCTCCTCTCTCTGATTCTTGCTGTCTCTTTCTGTCTGCCTTTCTCTTTGCTCACACTTTGACTTTCTGTTTTACTCTGTCTCTCTTTCTCTCTCTCTCTCTCTCTTTCTCTCTGTCTGTCTCTTGTGTCCTTCTCTCTGTCTGTCTCTTGCTCTGGTTCTGTCTTGACTCCTGTCCTCCCTTCTGTTCCCAGGACATTAAGATCCCATCAGTATTGCCCTCCCTGTCCCTCCTCAGCCTTTTCTCTATACATTAGCATTTCTATGGCACCTGCTTCCTGCCCCAGTGAAGCTTTTCAACTGGGAGAGGGGTCACTGACAAATCATGAGCTTTAATTCATCGCTCAATTGACAAAGAGTTTAACAGCTTCTCATTGATGACCACCACAGAGAGACCACACTGAGTGCAAAACTGCAAGAACCAACTACACAGAGTGCCCTAAGAAACGTTTCTACTAATTTTTATGATTCTTCACGAGTTACATTTGCTAATAAAAATCGCTAAAATAAGTTCTAAGGTAACAATTTACTTTGACTTTACTTTTCCCCCTCAGAAATTAGACATATTAGAGCCTGTACAGATAACAGTCGTAAAAAATTATAATAATAAAAAAATACCAAAATAAACCTTCTGGTGTAAGATCACAACAGTTTACCAATTTAATGTATTGATATATACACTGATTCTTTTAATTGTTGATTATATGAGTTCTATTCATTTGTGTGACAAATTAGATTAAAAAAAATATAATATTACTACAAAAGTCTCATCAGAAATAAAATCACAAAAAAACGTTTTTATTTGTGGTCATTATTGGGATTATTCACATATTAGGCAGAATAGTTAAACCGGAAAAATGAAACCATAGCTCAGCTATTTTGCTAGTTTTATTACATTAACCAAAGTTTTGTAATTTCTCCATAATTTCCGATAAAGAATTCATCAGACTACCAAAGTTTGAAGCTGGCAGTGTGGTAGTAAACATGTTTATTTAATTTGTTACTGTTTTGTTACCTAAATACAATTTTTTTTCTTTTTGACATTCTTTATTTTTGAAGTGCAGAGATTATTATTATTATTATTGCCATTTATATAGCGCCAAGAGATTCTGTAGCGCTTTACAATATTATGAGAGGGGGTATTTAACTATAAATAGGACAACTGCAAGAAAACTTACAGGAACGATAGGTTGAAGAGGACCCTGCTCAAACAAGCTTACAGTCTATAGGAGGTGGGGTATAAAACACATTAGGACAGGAAATAATGACACATGATAATAGAGACATAACATTAAGAATATATATGGTAATAAAGATTATTAGCATATTTCAAGAATGCTGCACTTTTTTTATATATATATATATATAATAATGGTATAAAAATTATAGTCCTAGATTCAATTTTCAATGGTCATTCACTATTCTTTGTATTCATGTATCCCTGACAAACCTTTTGCGTAATTTAAGATGAAATCTGCAAACGTTTGTTTTTTTGGCTTAAATATTACTGTTCTGTTAGTTCACCACAAAACACAGCATATCAAAGTTATTCATTGAACCAGGAATTGGGGAGGATTTACAAGGAATTTGCCAATTGTAGGAGAGAAAAAAAAGAAGTTGCGAAAAGATCTGTGTTTGAGAATGGTTGTTCTGCATTTTGGCATTCATTATGAAACATTATAGTTATTTAATCACAACTCACAGTTTTGTGAAGAATTCTTTTAATACGCTCAACCTTATGGGACTACTAACCAAGGTCCAAATGTCCCCAAGTCTGAATTATTATAAGTATTCATCAGAATAATTTAGTTCAACTGAATTAACAGATGGTTGAATTAAATTAAATTTGTAGTTCAACTGTGGCCAATTCTTATATAAGATAAACTACTGCAAGAATGCGTCACTAGTACAATTTAGATTACTAATACCGAGGTCGAAGGATTATAAAGATACACAAAGGAGTACATTACACCCCAATAATTCAAATGTAACATTTTAGGTTATTTGATTATGTATTTATTCAATATATGTATTTTTTTTTTTAATCTTTTAACTCTTTGCCTGCCGGTTGCTGCCAGATATAGCAGGTTGCTATAGATTCACATGCAAAAAAACAGGTGAATGTATTTATATGTGTTTGATACATATTTAACCCCTTAAGGATCAAACTTCTGGAAAAAAAGGGAATCATGACATGTCACACATGTCATGTGTCCTTAAGGGGTTAAATACTTTTGCTATGTTTCACTTGTAAGAATTACTGATTTGAAACCAGACATTGCATAGTATCTTCTGAGATGTGCTCATTCGGTTGAAATAACTGAA